GTGCTGACCATACAAATACCTATTATTATCACTCAGATCACTGCTTCAATTGGAATCAGGCTGCGTTTAGGTCAACCCACTCCAACCCTTGCAGACACCCGCCCTCCTCCTCCTCCTCCAGGCCCCCCCACCCACCCCACACTCGGGAGGCAGAGACGGCGCGGCTCTGAATATGTGCTCTGAGTGTGCATAAGAAAGGAATTTTGTCATGTGCATGGCGCCAAGGTCCCATGCCTTGGCGCCACGTGTCGCGCGGCGGCGGCCAGTAGAAATGGGGGGACGGGGCGGCCAGTACAAGGGTGGGGGGCGGCCAGTACAAGGGTGGGGGGCGGCCAGTACAAGGGTGGGGGGCGGCCAGTACAAGGGTGGGGGGCGGCCAGTACAAGGGGGGGGGGGCGGCCAGTACAAGGGGGGGGGCGGCCAGTACAAGGGGGGGGGGGGGCGGCCAGTACAAGGGGGGGGCGGCCAGTACAAGGGGGGGGGCGGCCAGTACAAGGGGGGGGGGGCGGCCAGTACAAGGGGGGGGGGCGGCCAGTACAAGGGGGGGGGCGGCCAGTACAAGGGTGGGGGGCGGCCAGTACAAGGGTGGGGGGCGGCCAGTACAAGGGTGGGGGGCGGCCAGTACAAGGGTGGGGGGCGGCCAGTACAAGGGTGGGGGGCGGCCAGTACAAGGGTGGGGGGCGGCCAGTACAAGGGTGGGGGGCGGCCAGTACAAGGGTGGGGGGCGGCCAGTACAAGGGTGGGGGGCGGCCAGTACAAGGGTGGGGGGCGGCCAGTACAAGGGTGGGGGGCGGCCAGTACAAGGGTGGGGGGCGGCCAGTACAAGGGTGGGGGGCGGCCAGTTCAAGGGTGGGGGGCGGCCAGTACAAGGGTGGGGGGCGGCCAGTACAAGGGTGGGGGGCGGCCAGTACAAGGGTGGGGGGCGGCCAGTACAAGGGGGGGGGCGGCCAGTACAAGGGGGGGGGCGGCCAGTACAAGGGGGGGGGGCGGCCAGTACAAGGGGGGGGGCGGCGGCCAGTACAAGGGGGGGGGCGGCCAGTACAAGGGGGGGGGCGGCCAGTACAAGGGGGGGGGCGGCCAGTACAAGGGTGGGGGGCGGCCAGTACAAGGGTGGGGGGCGGCCAGTACAAGGGTGGGGGGCGGCCAGTACAAGGGGGGGGGCGGCCAGTACAAGGGGGGGGGCGGCCAGTACAAGGGGGGGGGCGGCCAGTACATGGGAGGGGGGCGGCCAGTACATGGGAGGGGGGCGGCCAGTACATGGGAGGGGGGCGGCCAGTACATGGGAGGGGGGCGGCCAGTACATGGGAGGGGGGCGGCCAGTACATGGGAGGGGGGCGGCCAGTACATGGGAGGGGGGCGGCCAGTACATGGGAGGGGGGCGGCCAGTACATGGGAGGGGGGCGGCCAGTACATGGGAGGGGGGCGGCCAGTACATGGGAGGGGGGCGGCCAGTACATGGGAGGGGGGCGGCCAGTAGAAAAGGGGGGGGCGCGGGGGCCAGTATGCTGGAGGACACGTACCAACACCTCGTCAGGCATGAGAATGAGGTGGCGAGGGAGAGTAGACACCGTGGCAAGAAAATGAGTGTAGACAAAAAAGGGTAGACAAAAAAGGGTAGACAAAAAAGGGTAGACAAAAGGTAGAAAACTTTAAAATAAAACACGTTTATTGACGTACACACACACAAAGGGATGAGGTAGCTCAAGCTATTCTCATCCCGTGATGTGTGGAGGGGTTGGGGGGTGCGTCTTGCTCCTGCTAAGTTGACAAATTAACTCTGCAAAAGTTCATTTCAATTTGGCGATTGAGCCTCGCACTTGCTGTTAAAGAACGTGTTTCGCTGAAGTTCTCTACAACATCTACGGAGGCAGTGCGTCGGGGGCCACACATCGCACCTCACAGGATGACAAGTTTAACTAGCAAGGGATCCACACTGCGACGATCAAGGCGAGAAGAGTTGAACATTTTAAAAGAATTTAAAAGTAATGAGGCGCCTCCAGCAAGCAGCATCTAGATGCAACATAAATTGTTGCCCCACACACACACACACACACACACACACACACACACACACACACACACACACACACACACACACACACACACGCACACACACACAGTCCTGTAGTCTGTATGTGTCACACACACCACCTCCAGACACATAATGACCCCCTCATTAATATCCAGCCCTCGGAGAGAGAGAGAGAGAGAGAGAGAGAGAGAGAGAGAGGGGGGAAGCGGGTAGGGAAGTGGCAAGAATATTTTACCTTGCTAAAGGGAAGGGGACACATTTTCAAAGGAAAGGGGGTCGACAGGTGGCTGGAGTGGGAAGGAAAGGGAGACGTGGAGACGAGCGGGACGAGTGACGTAAGTCTGTCCTCCCTCCCACCACCGACCTTAACTTCACTTCTGCCTTGGTGACGCAGTCAACCCACCAGAGCCTGGCTCTCAACCACAGCCTCTTACATGTAGTACTCTACACTTGGCTACACCTCTCAATGGCATAGCCCAACCCCTTTGACTAGTTCGGTACAGCGGAGGCCTCGCTTATTGCTGGTCTGCGTTCAATCCCCGATGTTCCAAGTGGTTCAGCACCATACTTTCCCTTTGCACTATTCCTTGTCCTCGTGTCCTGCTTGAATTCTACTTGATAGGCTTCTGGGAGTAGTTCTACTCCCCAAGCGAGGCCCGAGGCCAGGCTTGAAGGCTCGTGTCCCTTCCAACTGCTACAGTCATACTGGCTTAGTCCTTTCTCCTTATAATTACCTTACCTCTCAATGGGATAACCACATACACTTACATGTAGCACTCTACACTAGGCTACACCTCTCAATGGCAGATCGCGCGTCCATTATTCAACATGAACAAAAAATAAGGCTTCTCCATTCCAATACTTCAACAAGAGATACTCCGTTTCTTGAGTAACCCTTTCCTGTACTGGATCTCCACTCCTTCAACGGCTCGTGTTCCAAGTGAGTCTCTGGAGTTCTGTCTTTCCTAAGCCAACTTCTCGTGTATTCAACAGCCAGTATCACCATCGCTGCCACACTCGACTGCAACAACAGGAAATATTCAGCCTGCCTACCATTAATTATGTATACAACTCGTGTCCATGCTCCAAGCGGCGAGGAGGAGGGGGGGGGGGGGTTGAAAAGAAGGGGGAGTAAATTGTGGGGGCTTGACGGTCCCCAGCAAGCAGACGAGTCTCCTTCAATCACGTGACCGACCCAGCAGGTAAGGGTGATGTCATTCACTGGCCCAGCCACACACCACACCCCCACGCCCTCTAGGTGCCTGCGCTCTGACTGCACCGTGTAATTGCAGGGAAGACACTATCTTTTTCACGGTGTCGGGGACAAAATTATCGGCGGCGGCAAATTGAAAATGATCCCAAAAAACAGTATGATCCGTTTTACGGATTCCACGGACAGTGCCAGGAGGAGACTGTAGCGCTATCTTATCTTGAGGTTATCTTGAGAGGATCTCGGGGCTTTAGTGTCCCCTCGGCCCAGTCCTCGACCAGGCCTCCACCCCCAGGAAGCAGCCCGTGACAGCTGACTAACACCCAGGTACCTATTTACTGCTAGGTAACAGGGGCATAGGGTGAAAGAAACTCTGCCCATTGTTTCTCGCCGGCGCCCGGGATCGAACCCGGGACCACAGGATCACAAGTCCAGCGTGCTGTCCGCTCGGCCGACCAGCGCTGAGCAGCACCAGCTTCGCCAAACAACTGCAGTTAGAAGACGAAGCGTGACAACGTAGCTACACGTCTCCCGGCCGTGGGATGATATGATTGATCTCTTTTGCGGTTACCTTGCTATGATTTCGGGGCTCAACGTCCCCGAGACCCGGTCCTCGACCTGATCACAAGCCTATCATAATCCCTGCACCGTGGCTGCCAACGCCCCAATCTCGTCCCTCAACGCCCTCCAAGAGGCGTTATTACCAGAGTTCGTCAAGGGGACAAGTGCGAGTGGCTGCTTGATGCTGAATTCCGTCAGCCCTCAAGACTTACCGGACACGGGCCAATAATCGAGCATCGAAGTGTCCAGCTTCGAAGTCCAAGAAAACACAGTTCCAGTCTGGCATGGTTATATCTTGGTATGTTTTAATAGCTTCTCAACTCACAGCAACGAGCAGTTTTACCACATCGCATAGAAGTAAGAGTTAATTATGAGAAAACATGAGGCCAGCACGACTACACAGTGATTATAGCACAGAGTATCTGCTAATTCACAATGTGCGGGACTCTACTGGCACTCAGATAAATCACCCGACTGTGGCCTAAGTTTTTATTGGTGTAGTCTGACAGGAAGATTTCTCTCTCTCTCTCCATTAAGAGAGGCTCCCAGATGGTCCACTGTCCCTCTTACATCAAGATCCACGAAAAGCATCCATTAGCTGCCGGCTACCTTCCCTACACCACTCCAGGCCACCCTACACACCCACCCTGCATACCAGCTTTGGCAGGTATAGTCAGTCTACCTTAGACACACCTGGTCCTTCCAGAAGCTGAACTAGTCACTTCACCTTTTACGAAATGCAGCAAGAGTTCCTGCCAGCCCCAGACCCCATGCCCGACACCTGTACCTTCCCAACATGTAACCAGCCCCCCAGACCCCTTGCACCTGGCCAGATGTGTGCTGGTCCCTCTACACCTGCAAGCTCCCACACTTGGTCTCCGGCTCATCAGCGATGCTCTCACCATCATCAGGCCCACCTGCGACCTGAATGTAACTAAGTTTAGAGTCACTATAGCGTCGCAGATTGGCGTTTAACATTCATGGCCAGTGTGATTACGCTACACACACACACACACACACACACGTACACACACACACGTACGTACGTTTTAGGCAAGAAGGGACACCATGAGCGTAACACTTATCCTTTAAGTACACACACACAATACTAAACTACATATATATATACACATTCCCATGTCATATGAATATTTAGTGTACATAGCCACTGAAGAAACGTGAGAGCCCCAAACTTACGCCAGGCCGCCGTGAGGTTGAGAGACGCTGCGGCTCCGCCTCCGCCTCCTCCTCCTCGCGACTCACCTGCAAAACAGACAAAAGAAAACCGTATTAAGAAAACATTGTGGGAGTGACTATTAGAAGTCTCTTGATACTTCCTTATAACTTGTTAGTTAGTTTAGTTCATTTATTATGCACCCCATACCCATCTTGTGGGCGGTAGTGGATAGGGTTACAGAGGCACATAATGGGCTCAGGGACTGAACCCCACAATTCATTTAGCTAAGCAAGTTACAATCTTGATGAGCTAGTTACAAAATTCAATATAAGTCATCACATCAACAATGGGTTCGAGATCGACCTCAAGTATAACTTGTGCTCTACGAGAAAGCCTCTCTGTGTATAACAATACTGATACACACAACACAGCGTAATGCATTTAAAACGTTTAATGTTTGAAGGACAAAGTTCTTGGATGGCATTAGGTCGCTCAAGAGAGGGTTATCCCTCCCCCCAGCTGCTATGATGGTCTACCGATTTCTTCACATACAATTTGAGGATGGTGGCAGTGCACAATAGAAAGTTGTTTTCACATATCCATACATTAAAACATTGATTGTAACCATGATATATATGTGCTTCAGCCTACAGTTTAGACCTATTGGCTTATGTATGACCCTCTGTCCTGCGTGACAGTGAATACCAGCATTATCCTCACTTTAATAAGACTATCAAAATCCTCAGATTAGGCAAAATTGTAATTAATTTTGTCAATAAAGATGTTAATAATAATAGGTTTCTCACACACTCCATCCTCCACCCCCCTCCCTTAACACTTAAAATATTCGAGATTAATGAACTTGTGTTCGAGATTTTTGGGGAAGAGGGGGGGTTAGGGGTTCGATGCTTGGGTGACTGGTCTTTGGCTCGGGAATGCCATGGGCGGGTCAGAGTTCGACCCCCCAATGTCCTTTCTTTAAACCATTTTCCAACCTAGCCATATGACAAGCTTTCATACTCAGTAAGATTAATTAAGCATATTTTATTCTATTCGATTAAAGATTTGTCATATGTATGTGTTTTTGGTGAAGATTGTGAGGATAGTTACTGTATAGAAAAAAATGGCGAAGGGTAGGAGAAGGTTGGCGAGGGGCAGAAAAAGATGGGGGAGGGGCAGAAAAAGATGGGGGAGGGGCAGAAAAAGATGGGGGAGGGGCAGAAAAAGATGGGGGAGGGGCAGAAAAAGATGGGGGAGGGGCAGAAAAAGATGGGGGAGGGGCAGAAAAAGATGGGTTAGGGGCAGAAAAAGATGGGGGAGGGGCAGAAAAAGATGGGGGAGGGGCAGAAAAAGATGGGGGAGGAGTAGAAAAGATGGGGGAGGAGTAGAAAAGATGGGGGAGGAGTAGAAAAAGATGGGGGAGGAGTAGAAAAAGATGGGGGAGGAGTAGAAAAGATGGGGGAGGAGTAGAAAAGATGGGGGAGGAGTAGAAAAGATGGGGGAGGAGTAGAAAAGATGGGGGAGTAGAAAAGATGGGGGAGTAGAAAAGATGGGGGAGGAGTAGAAAAGATGGGGGAGGAGTAGAAAAGATGGGGGAGGAGTAGAAAAAGATGGGGGAGGAGTAGAAAAAGATGGGGGAGGAGTAGAAAAGATGGGGGAGGAGTAGAAAAGATGGGGGAGGAGTAGAAAAAGATGGGGAGGAGTAGAAAAAGATGGGGGAGGAGTAGAAAAAGATGGGGGAGGAGTAGAAAAAGATGGGGGAGGAGTAGAAAAAGATGGGGGAGGAGTAGAAAAAGATGGGGGAGGAGTAGAAAAGATGGGGGAGGAGTAGAAAAAGATGGGGGAGGAGTAGAAAAGATGGAGGAGGAGTAGAAAAGATGGGGGAGGGGCAGAAAAAGATGGGGGAGGAGTAGAAAAGATGGGGGAGGAGTAGAAAAGATGGGGGAGGAGTAGAAAAATATGGAGAGGGAGTAGAAAAAGGCTGCAGATAGGGTGCCAGAGTAGAGATGACACTTAAGACGAGGACAGTAAATAATACAAATTACACTGACAAGACCACCAAGGTCTTCAGACATATACACAACAGTATACACAATAAAAACAAAACACAATAAAGGCCTTATTGTTCACACAACCAACCAAACACTAGTGTATAAGAGACCATTAGTGTAACACTAGTGTATAAGAGACCATTAGACCATTAGTGTAACTAGTGTATAAGAGACCATTAGACCATTAGTGTAACACTAGTGTATAAGAGACCATTAGACCATTAGTGTACCATTAGTGTATAAGAGACCATTAGACCATTAGTGTACCATTAGTGTATAAGAGACCATTAGACCATTAGTGTAACACTAGGGTATAAGAGACCATTAGACCATTAGTGTAACACTAGGGTATAAGAGACCATTAGACTATTAGTGTAACACTAGTGTATAAGAGACCATTAGACCATTAGCGTAACACTAGTGTATAAGAGACCATTAGACCATTAGTGTACCATTAGTGTATATAAAGATTACATCCAGCGTTCAGAGTGGAACAATAACAAACCCCAACACGCCCCCCGACGCATGCTAAACCCGTCCCAAACACGTGGTAATGACGTTTCTGGGTCATTGTGCATTCCAAACAGCGTGGCCCAGGGCATACGTGTCCACGGGCATGTCCACGAACCTGAGTGCCCTCGCTCTTAAAAACTTGACTACGACTCGAGCATGGGAGAGTTTGAGTCTTGTTGTTGGTTGCCAGGGAGTAGTGGTTAGTGTCTGGGGTATGGTGAGGTAGTGCACAAGCCGGTTTGGTCAAGCTCGTGTTCTCGTTGTTGTTGTTGTTTGAGTTTGAGTTACTGGGAACAAAGTTCCAAGTAGCACGGGCTATGGTGAGCCCGTAGTGGACTTATCTGGCACAGGAGCGGGGCTGTAACTGTGTTATGTAGATATGTATTTTGTAAATAATATTTGATTTTGAGGCATGTTGACCACAGAGCCAGCAGAGAGAGAGGGGCATGTTGACCACAGAGCCAGCAGGGAGAGAGGACATGGTGACCACAGAGCCAGCAGGGAGAGAGCGCATGTTGACCACAGAGCCAGCAGGGAGAGAGAGGCATGTTGACCACAGAGCCAGCAGGGAGAGAGCGCATGTTGACCACAGAGCCAGCAGGGAGAGAGCGCATGTTGACCACAGAGCCAGCAGGGAGAGAGGACATGTTGACCACAGAGCCAGCAGGGAGAGAGCGCATGTTGACCACAGAGCCAGCAGGGAGAGAGAGGCATGTTGACCACAGAGGCAGCAGAGAGAGAGAGAGAGGCATGGTGACCACAGAGCCAGCAGAGAGAGAGAGAGGCATGTTGACCAGTAAGACACGTGGTACTCAGAGGCGTCATGGGCCCCCACCAAGAGCCTGCCAGCCATGTTAGGTGGTGGCTGCCGCCGCACCAACACTGACCCCTCACACAGCGTTATCACCCCCACCTGCCCTCGCCCCCCCAACCCCCTCTGGTTGATACCTGGTTGATGGGGTTCTGGGAGTTCTTCTACTCCAAGATCGGCCCGAGGCCAGGCTTGACTTCTGAGAGTTTGGTACACTAGGCTGTTGCTTGGAGCGGCCCGCAGGCCCACATATCCACCACAGCCCGGTTGGTCCGGCACTCCTTGGAGGAAACAATGTACTTTCCTCTTGAAAATGTCCACGGTTGTTCCGGCAATATTTGTAATGCTTGCTGGGAGGACGTTGAACAACCGCGGCCCTCTGATGTTTATACAGTGTTCTCTGATTGTGCCTATGGCACCTCTGCTCTTCACTGGTTCTATTCTGCATATCTCCTTGAAAAAGTCTTAATACCTACTGAGGTCTAATTGTCAGCAGCAGATACGGTTCACAAGTAAGGCGTGTAGAGGGGGCCTGAAATACTTGCAGAACAGCGCCTCGTGAAAGTCCCGTAGTGAACCTCACAGATCACTTGGCACCAGACTCATGCCCTCCCAACCTCACCAGTCTTGCTGACAACTGTACAACGCCCACGCCCGCCCACCAAACAACTGTACAACCCACCAAGCTTAACTGGCCATTAAGGAAACAGTTAAAGGTTGGGATGGAAAAATACAAGAGCTTTACAACCTGCTCCCTCGCCCCCACCTCTCGCAAGAGCAGATACACAGCGGGAAGGGGAGTTGGGGATGGGACGATGGGATGGGTAGGGGAGGATGAGATGGGTAGGGGAGGATGGGATGAATAGGGAAACAAATGAAGATGAGGGAACAACTCCACATGAGATTACAACAAGTCACCAATGGCTGTGGAATACGATCGAAATGCTAAAAGATCCAATGCTAGCTAGACAGGCCTCTCCAAGATGAGACGCCCCACCCCCACAGCTGGTGGCCCAAGATGAGACGCCCCACCCCCACAGCTGGTGGCCCAAGATGAGACGCCCCACCCCCACAGCTGGTGGCCCAAGATGAGACGCCCCACCCCCACAGCTGGTGGCCCAAGATGAGACGCCCCACCCCCACAGCTGGTGGCCCAAGATGAGACGCCCCACCCCCACAGCTGGTGGCCCAAGATGAGACGCCCCACCCCCACAGCTGGTGGCCCAAGATGAGACGCCCCACTCCCACAGCTGGTGGCCCAAGATGAGACGCCCCACTCCCACAGCTGGTGGCCCAAGATGAGACGCCCCACTCCCACAGCTGGTGGCCCAAGATGAGACGCCCCACTCCCACAGCTGGTGGCCCAAGATGAGACGCCCCACTCCCACAGCTGGTGGCCCAAGATGAGACGCCCCACTCCCACAGCTGGTGGCCCAAGATGAGACGCCCCACTCCCACAGCTGGTGGCCCAAGATGAGACGCCCCACTCTCACAGCTGGTGGCCCAAGATGAGACGCCCCACTCCCACAGCTGGTGGCCCAAGATGAGACGCCCCACTCCCACAGCTGGTGGCCCAAGATGAGACGCCCCACTCTCACAGCTGGTGGCCCAAGATGAGACGCCACACTCCCACAGCTGGTGGCCCAAGATGAGACGCCACACTCCCACAGCTGGTGGCCCAAGATGAGCCCCCCCCCCACAGCTGGTGGCC